TTTTTTTCCTCGTACTTTCATGGTTAATTAGATCGTTAAAATTATAATTTTAGGTTTGCGACATTTCTCTAGATCGCACAATTAGGAAATCGCTAATTACGAGTAAACCTAATAAGCGCTAATTAGGGTTAGTCCTAACCTAATCTAAACGACCTACCTAACCTATAGGAAGTAAGTGCCAGCCAAGCACCGCGCCAATCAAGGCTGATCGGGCCTGAGCAAGGCCATATTCGAACTGCAACTTCATGCAACTTTCACTTTTTGCAAACTGCATATTTTTGCGACTGAAAAGTTGAATCTTTCCAGCAAATTGTGTTGAGGGAAGCCCTGAAGTCTATGCCTCCTAACAAGACACCGGGTAGGGATGGATTGACTAAAAAATTTTCGGTGGAGTATTGGCCTATCTTAGGAGGAGAGTACGAATCCTTTCTCAATCAAGCCTGGCAGAAAGAGGGTTTGGGGTTAGAGTCGGCGACAGGCATTGTTACTCTGCAATATAAGAAGGGAGACCCTAGGGATAAAAATTACAGACCGATTACACTGTTGACCTTTACCCACAAGATTGTGGCTAAAGCACTAGCTAACCGCCTCAGGAAAGTTACAGAAGGTTGTTTCCACCTAGATCAAACAGGTTTCATTCCGGGAAGATTTATATTGGATAATGTCATGACTTTATCAGAATCGGTAAGGTACATTACGAATAAGAGGATAAACGCAGCGATCCTCCTCTTCGACTTCGAAAAAACATATGATCAAGTCAATTGGAACTTTCTACAGCAATGTATGGAGAAGATGGGAGTGGGCCCTAACTTTCGTAAATGGATTCGTGTACTGTATAATGATGCACACGGGCAGGTCCAAGTTAATGGCCATCTGTCATATCGGTATAAAATGACGAGGTCGGTGAGGCAAGGGAATCCCTTAGCGGCTCCTCTTTTCTTGTTTATAATGGAAGTTATTGCCTCGTTCCTCAGGAAAGACCCTTCGATAGACCATTTGATTGCTGAACCGGATCAGCAGGGAGGTGTCACACATTTACCGACAACGATATTATTTGCGGACGATCTGACGGTACTAATCATAGCAACGGACTCTTCATTTCAAGCCCTTACAAGAGCAATGGCGGCATTCCAGCTGGCATCGAAGATGAGAATAAAAAGGTCGAAGACGCAAGGGTGGTGGCTATCACATGACGACCAACAGCTACAGTATCAACCACAAAATTATGGGGGGATGCCTTGGTTACCGCCGGATCAAACAATGAGATACTTGGGGATTAGAATGGCGGACACGGGTCCCCACCACTCCATGGCGCCAGAACAGATGACAAAAATGCTATTAAAGTTGGCGGCATGGTTGGAAATACATACGTCACTGATCAGGAGGGCACTAATCATAAATGCTTCAATCTTCTCTATGGTATGGTATGTGGGAACAATATGGTCACCACCTGCATATACACTACAAAAACTGAGGAAGGTGGCGGCAGCATATTTGTCGACAGCAAATCCAATGAGAGCCAACTTTATATCAAAGGTAGCATGGAACCAAGTTATTCAACCAAAGGACAAGAGAGGGTTGGGAGTCTTGGTTCCAAGACAGCAGATAAGGTCACCAAACTAAATGGATCATTAAGTTGTTAACACAGCCTCACCTTCGGTGAGTCCCATTGGTACTCGACCACATACGACAGATGGCCATGCCTTCCAATATGAAGGGCACATTCTGACTATTCTGCAAGGGTTGGACTAAGAAGGATAGAACGGGGGAACAAGTAGTAGAGGATGACGCAACTAGGGGTACATATTGGGCTCAATTGCTCAAAATTTGGGCGGAGGTCTTCCCTGCAAGAGTAAGACAACCGAAGACGAAGGATGAAGTGCTTAGACAACCGTTATTTTGTAATCCATGGTTAAAAGACTCTCAAGGAAGACCTAGAACACTAACAGCAAAGGACGCCAAGTGGGGGAAGTGGTTAGAGCATGGGGTATGGTAGGTAAAACATCTCTAGTCAGGCAGCAAGGGGAGATGGAAAACAGGTAGGGAGCTGAGGGAGGAAATGAAGGGTTGTCACAGACTAACTGAAAACTTGAATGACATTCTCGTCTCGATCCCGGATGAGTGAACAAGGATATTGAAGGAAACAGACAAATGGGGATGGGGGGATTGGGCAACAATAACCACTACTAATGAACCAGAGGCAGCCTTTCACATAGGACAGGAGGTCGGCCCTTCTAACCAGTGGTTGGAAGCAGATATGTACACAATACTATCTCCAGGAGTCACAGTCAGCATGCTGGATAAGGATTTGAGGGTTCCGATTGCCATTAAGAAAAGCATCTTAAGAAAGGTCAGAGTGGTTGAGAATGAAAATTTTACGATAATTTGAGCCACTAACATCCATTTGGGATTTCCAGCAGAGTGGGCATAGAACATCAAGGGAAGCTCGTCAAGAGTAATCAGGAGAATTAATATACTTCAGTACACCACTAAGTTGGGTTACCGTCTGAGGGGAGGAGATCATGCCATTTGGATCAGAGTTTGGCGATAAGAAGGGAGAAGAGACTGGATATACCAAGGGAACAGGTAGAAAGGTTACCATGGTCAACATTGCACAGTATCAGCTTGGCCAAGGTCAGGAGCATGCAGTGGCTCATCTTTCATGTAGCACTCCCAGTCAATGTCTGGCTGTTCGATAAGCGAAGCACGCTCAATAGGAATGAGGCAGATCAAGACTGTGTTATGTGTATGGGAGGCGTTCCTAAAACTCTGATCCATTGCTTGCTCCATTACCCGGAAGCAGAACATCTCTATTCCATAGCTCGTTCATTGTGGACACATACTACGGAGGTCCCCTTCCCGCGAAACAGGAAACTAATATTGATTGGAAGTGAGGTGCCTAAGGGATGGCGGGCAGGCCACAAATATATCTTTCAGCTTCTGAGACAGTACACTTTATGGACAATCTGGAAATGAAGATGTCAGCTGGTGGTGGGCAAGATTTTGATGACTAGAATGGAAACCAAGGCAATTCTCTACAGCCTGTTGGAGATGGAGATTAGCGCGTTATGGAGAAGGACAAAGAAGCAAGTGGCTCTTAACTCAGAAAGGGCAAAGGATACCTTAAACCAAATTCCAGAAAAGGGTACTAGCCCAAGGCAAAGTTGCGACCGTAGAAGGAGAGAGACTTATCTTCCATTGGTTCAAAGACGAGCGCCAGGAGGAAACTATAGATGATAAGTTGTTGACACAGGAACTTAGGCTGCCACAAGAATTAAAGTGAGGCAAGGCAAGGAAGGATAAGTGAATGGGGTTGTAGGGTTCAAGGAATATAGGATACGGGTTCGAAGGACAACATTAGGGGAGAAAGGAAAGTTTTGGACAGAGGGAGGAGAGAACCATAGAGGAGAACACAGATGTTGGTCCACAAGGGGGGCGGAGGAGGGGATACAGTCGGGGGAGGGGATAAGATAGGGTGTATTTATCAGCAGAGAAGCTGGTAAGTTAGGGGAAGGAGAGGATTAAGACCTCATATACGGTAGAGGAGGGTAGGTTAGCAACTGCTGGATCCTTTCCTTTTATTTCATGACATATTTGGCAATATATATATATATCGTATACATCGTCACAAACAGAACTGCCCGGTAAACCGTAGGCAGAGAGAGAGAGAAGAGGACAACAAACGAGGGGCTGTGACAAACTGTTTCGTCGGAGTTTCACCGACTCATCAGGAGGCTGAACCCTCAACAGTCTGCAGAATCCCCTC